CCTGCTACCTACAGCTAATGACCACAATTTAAAGAAAGACTGAATGCTTCCCGCTGTAGGCCGGAGAAAAACCGTCCCACCACCTTCAGGCTCCTTCCTGTAGACTTCATCCCAGATCCAGACGCTAACTGCAAACATCCTCACCGTCAGCAGTCAGAAGGTGAAGGGTGGCACTCCACAGGGCTGTGTGCTCTTCCCCTCCACAACCGCAGGTTTTGGACGTTTTCTCCGCTTCAGCAGATCGAACGTCGACAGAAAACCACACCATCTTCCATCCAAGTTTGATTTTAATGTGGAAAATGAATCCAGTCCATGAGGCAGAGACGCTACTAGCACCTAGCTACTGTCAAACAGCCCATCTTCTCCATCTTAACTTACAATACTTACAAGGTTCAAATCAGAACGTTCCTCTAAACAAGGCAAAAGCTTGAGCTGCTGCTCAGAGAACACGTAGGAAACCATAACTTAACGGGTCGGTCTGCGGATGAAACGGGAGGTTACAAAGGCAGCGTATTTACACGTCATGTCTCGCTCTGTACAGATTATCAGTCTGGTGCGTGTGGCTGGTGGAGGTCCATAGAAGCGGTTTGCCTAGAGCCGGTGTGGCCCCGCTCAGACCCGTCTTTCAGGGGCCGATGGACGGCATTGGTCCAGGAGTCTCTTCGATCTCCGGCTCCTCCGGAGAGCCGGGCCAGGCCTCCGCCTGCTCCGCCTCCTTCTTGTCCAGCTCTTGTTGATCTTTGATCTTCAGGATCAGCTCCTTGATCTCCAGGCGCTTCGTCTTCATGCGCTGCTGGGGGAACCAGTCGGAAAGGTTCATGGGCAGCTGGAAACTGGGAATGGGGTTCTGCAGGGAGAGAAGAGCAAAAATCCTCAACAAACACAAAGGTCAATAATTACAAGAAAAAGAAAACAGAAATGCTGCTGAATAAGCCTCTAGTTTTCAGCAATAATTCCCAGTGCAAGTGGAAGAAAAACAACTTTGACACAACAATATCACCGCATTCACACCGAAGGCATTATGAGCATAAAATAA